ATGGACCTGCCTCATCGATGGTTCTTGTTCCTGGAAGCTTTGGCTGCAGATGCCTGGATGCTCTCCCCTACAGCCTCCTACACACACTGGACTCAACAAATCACCGACCTGTGGCTTCAGGGAACCTTTCTAGAGTTCTCCCCCTTCGAAATTATCTTATTCTCTACCCTCTTTTGGGTCCTGTTACAAAACCCCCAATCTTCCCCCAATTCCTCTTCCCCTACTACGTCCCCGTCCAGCAGGAAGTAGCTCGAAGATCACGGAGACCCACTCCCCACAATAGAGGAAAAAGGGAGGAATGTAGGGACCCCATGGGGGTCCTGTCCAGCCCCATCCAATCAGTTACCGCCCCGTCCAATCAGTTACCACCCCGTCCACTCTCTCTCCCGCCCCAGAGCACAGCACCCTATAAATGTACGTGCAGTCCTTGAATAAAGCGGAACTTCTCTGGCGAACTATTAGTCCGGGTCTCGCGTGCTTCCTTCGTCCGTGCATCCCTTCAAGCGCCCCACGCACCCTATGAAGAACTCAGCAAACAAGATGCTTGTGGGCACCCGTGAGTCAGACTTGGACTGGGCCATCATAGATTCTCCCCTACACAGGCAGGGCCGGGGGGACAATAACAGCGGCAGCGTGGAGAGGCAGGTGCCCAGCAGGCCAGCCCCATCCACCACGTAGTGACGTTCCAGCTCTCTGTCTACAGAAGCAATGTGGCGCTTAGTAATCACTTGTTTTGGCACATTTGTACCTTCTTATCTGACGTGAGCCACCTCCACACGGGGGAAGCAACATCTCTAAGAAAATGGGAGGGCTGAAGGTCTTCAGGCTTTTGCAAAATTCAATTCTCTGTTCTTATCTCATTACAAAGAAGTCTGAGCAAATGTTAGCTTTTTAAAGTAATCTGACAAAACCAATAGCCAGCCCTTGTCAAATAAGAAAAGAAAGATTTCCACAATGCTTCATCTGCATGTTCCTAAGGGAGACTGACACCCTGCCCGGAGGCTTATTCATCCTTCCCTAGAGAGGGGAACTGAAGGGGATTCTTTCCCGCCCACAGCTCTGGTAAATGGCAGCCTTTCAATATATCCTGACTTCTGCCAGCTGTCAACAGGATGAAGAAGAAACTGTACTGGAGGGTGTAAGAAAATCTGATGATTAACAATTCAGAAATGCCACTGTTCCCTTTTTATTTATTAAGACTACTTTCATCCATTCCATGAAATCAGTTAACTGGCTTATATACTTAAATTTCCTTCTTTATTGTGTAGGTAGGTGACAAAAATAAAGGACTCTAAAAATCTAGGAAATAACTGCAATTTTAGCCAATAAAAAAAAAAGTTTGGCTGAATGTGTTAATGTGTGTGCAGAACAGTGGCCTGCTAAGTTCCAACCTTAGCGGAAAACATTCACTGCTGTTTGTCCAATTCCTTTTCCCCCCACATTCTCCATGGCCAACAGTAAGCTTTCATTCCTTCGGTCATTCTTGCAGGGAAAAAGCAAGCAAGCAAGCAAATGGGCCTGCATGCACGCGAGCACGCTCCTGTGTGTGGATGCCTGCACAGGAAGGGACGCGTGCACAGCAAACACCTCGCTCCTCCACAGAGCCTCACCCTTTCATGACGGCCCCGGGCTTGCTCTCCTGCCTCTCCTGGCAATTGCTGCCTATACCTTGCATTTTGGCCATAATTTGATTTTTTCAGTTTCATAAAGTGCGAGGTGCCCGCCCAGATGCCTCAGGAACTACTACAGGAAGTCACTGCTCTAATTAATCCTTAGTTCCAATATGACCTTTCCAAAAAGAGAAAGTCCTTAAGGGCCTAGATTTTTTTTTTCTAAGTCAATTGCATTTTTTTCCTACAATCCAACCAAACTTGGCTCTCAGCAGATTCTCAGTAAAAATATTGTGAGTTTGCACCTTACCCCCATCTCTGCCTATAAAAGACTGAGGAAGTTAAAGCAGCAAATTTGCAAGCTCTCCCTTTTTAAATGTGAAGGGCTTTCATTTCAGAAAGACTGGCAGCATATCAGCACTGGAAATATCACGGAGCATCTAACCTGCTCCCTCCACTGAGCAGCCTGATGATAAGAGTGGAGATGTGATAAACACAGCTCTCTCTCCAGACTCTGTTGCACCAAGCTGCCATCTCTGATCGACAGGCAGTGTCCTGCTCACAGGCCATGAATGCACCTTGAACACCGCATCACTATGTGACCTTCTTAAGGTTTCCATCTCACACAAGGGAAAATCCGAGCTCCTGGATGTAAAGTATAAATGCCAGGGGAATGCACCACTTTTATGGTCATTCATTTCTGATGCCGACTTATGCCCCCAAGAACGTGGCCATTGTTCCTGGATGTGCAGATGAGCAGCTGTCCTGAGACAGTGTGCCCTGTCTCCCCCTAAGCCTTCAGCACATGCCCGCTCTCAGCGGTCAGAGAGGCACACCCAGATGAATTCTGGAATCTAAGACAGAAGTGAGCGGAAGGCCCAATCCTCCCCTAACCCCCAAATTACTATCTTTATCTCTTTACACATCCCAGGTCTGTCATATGTCAAATAGAAACGTTCAAATACTTTGAGTTTTGAGAATTTACCCGATGGAAATAATTAGATACATAAAATTTATGAATAAGGAAGGTCACTTCTGGCTTCTGAAGGTACAATATTCATTGGAGGTCACCTAGATGTGACTGAGTAGCTTTGAACTAAAATAGCGTGCAAGAGGCCTAGAAAACTTTCTAAAACGACATGCAACTTGACAGTAGATGATTACAGTAAATGAGGCCCATCCAACAGCAGGCCTTTAACCCAGGACCAGGCCAATTCACAGACTCCGTGAAGCCAAAGTACCACCTTTCAGTCCGTACACTCACATTCACAAATTATGCAACCTGCAACCACTTCCCAAATCCTAAGAGACCTGACATTATTCCACCAGGGTTCCCGTAGGATTAACCAATGCCAGATGGTGTGGGATAAAAATACAGCCCTCCTTGCTTCCCCACAAAAGGGCCCTGGACACCTACACTTCCCACTTATGAAGGAAGAAGCAGAACTCTGCGTAACAAGAAAAAGTCTACATATTTTCTCACCAAAAACTTCAAATACATCCTCCACAGTAAGGGGCACTGGCTGCCACTGTCATTCCGCAATGCACTTTCAAACAGGGCTTTGATGCGATGTGTTAAGCCGGTCTCAGGAATCGTGGCGTGGATCTCTCTGCCATCTACCCTGCAAGGAAAAGGCTCATGTAACTCTGACACGAGTTCTCTCACCCAACATGACAGCAGGAAGAGACCATGATGACAAGTGTCAGCAACAACTGGATCAGAGTGTCAGGGGAGTGTGTCCCTCGGTGTGTGAGCACAGTGGTGCCAACTGCAGGTGTGATGTGGCTGCTCTGAGGCCAGAGGAAGGCTGGGTCCAGGGTTCTGTGGGGTCTACACCTGCTGAGTCTGTCTACAAGTCTCAGGCAAACTCTTTGCTTTTATGTTTTCTAAAGAAACCTACCCTTTAATCAGCAGAAGGCAAATTCTATTTTAAGGGAAGGAAAGATCTTTCAATTTAAAGTAGACATAGTTAAGACTTACATGGAGTGAATGAAACACCCCATGGAAGACATAAAAAAAGAGTAAAGGGAAATACTACTCAAAGGCAATTCTACATAACTTAGAAGGCCAGAGTGAAGCAAGAGCAAAGACTCCAGAAGGAACGATGATGCCTAAGCTATTGTGTCCCTAGACTAACTTTCACATATAAAACCCTATATCAAAAAATGATATTTAAAATGTGCCGCTGTTATCACTAGTAATACTGATAGAAGCTACCAATTATTAACCAGTCTTTGTGCCGAGCACTTTCCTCACTGACCCCTCAGAGCGACCCTGAGGTAGGTTCTTTAATTATTCCCATTTGACAGAAGAACCTGTTAGAGAGGTGAAGTGACTTGCCCTAGGTCACTCAGCCACGAAGTGGCACAGCTGGCAATGGAATACAGAGAAGGGAACCCCAGAGCCTGTGCTTTTAACCATATGCTTTTGTCATAGTTTCTCAGATACCTGATGGTGTGACAGTCACCACCCATGCATACCAGAAGCAACATGCAGACTCCCCTTCTAGAACCATGGCCTAGGAAGACAGCCACCAAAGCCTCTAAGGAAAGATGTTGCTACCTTGTAAGCATCTTGCTCATCTTTCCACATGTTATTCTACAACACCTAGAGCACCCGCATGCAGCAGGTGTTCCGGGCACTGTGCAGTGTCCACTTCTGTATTCCTGAGACCTAGCAAGCCAGCGGGAATGCGGCGAGCATTCCACAGGGGCTTGTGGAACACATGAACAAGACGGCCTGTGATTACCTCTGAACCATTTCCACCAGTCTTTTCCTCATTTTCTCAGCTTCAATTGCAAACAACCAAGGCTCCAAGGGTTTGGTAGACCTCGTGATTGCATCGAAGAATCTTCTGGTCTTGCTGGCACTGTGGGACTTACTGTGAATCTGTACATATGACCTCCAAAGAACCTGGTTGCCCGGATACAACTTTAAAGCCTCTGAGAATGCCTCTCGCACAGGGGTGAGAGGGTAAACACTGACTTTCATGTGAAATCGCAGCAGACTCATGTGCAGCAGAGTGACAGTTTCGAGAATACTGGTCAAACGCTGGGAGGTGAAAACAGAGTCCTTCAGTTTTGCAAATACCTGCTCGGATATCTGCACAGCAGCATCAATCCCTTTGGTCAAATACTGGAAAAACATAAAGCATTTGACCAAGCTAACTAGACGGTTTAATGAATTGGTGGGAGGTGGATCAGAGACACAGCTCTCACTCAAACAGCCCTGCAACGCGTGCTCGTAAGCCTTTCGAGCTTTCAAAATGTGAACAGCCAAGACCTGCCCAGTGTAGGGTCCGTAGGGACTGCTCTCAGTCAGTCTGGTCAGTATATGAACGGCTCGGGCTGCAGTGCCCCTTCTCAAGTCAGGCTCCAGCTCCACCTCCAGCTGGGCATAGAGCAGACTGAGCTCACATAGTTCGTGGTCCTGCAGTTCTTTGCTTCCTGCCATGCTTAGTGCTATGTCAAAAACTTTTCTGGCGTCCTCTATGTTGCCCATCAACCACTCCAGATGTGCATACTGCTTCCAGAGACAAAAGTTGTTGCAGTTTTCTGGCTCCTTAAGGAGATTCTTGGCTAGTTTTTTGCAGTTCTTCCCCTGTGACTTTAATCTCTTCTTGCTTTTAGTCTGCAGACACCAAATGACCTACAGGCAGAAAGAGAAGAACGAAACCAAGTGCTCTGTAATTTTAAACCTATCCCTTTGTACTGCCACATTTAGAAAGCGCTGACGGCACAAAGGCGCCTATACTTTGTCATACGTTTGTAAACACTGAGGCTCTCTGAGTGAGAAATCAGGACTTTACCAGACACAGGTGCCCCAAAATCCAGGGTTCCACCATAAATCTCAATAAACAAGGCTGATATACTCCAGATGTTCTTCCTCAAAGACACGTGGCCACCAAATTTCATCAGAGACACTATTTTAATACAACCTGGTGTGTGCGAAGCTTTAGAACCTTGAGTGGTAAGAGTCAATACTAACTAGTGGCCAGCAGAGGGCAGAAGAGTCAATCCAGACTAATTTTTATTAGATATAAAGAGCAGGATCAGTAAGTAGCTTATTTTATCTATTTTAATAAACCCACAAATCCTCTAACCCTGCTTAAGTTTAAGCTTGTTCTTAACATTAACTGCTCACATAATCACAGGCATCTGGTAATGCCAGACTCAACACCATAAACAGCTCCAGTGTCATTGAGGCAGATGAACTAACTCCTGCCTTCCTCCTCGTCACTCTGGTCCCTTTGAGGACCAAACACACATGAGGTGCCTTCAGGAGTCACTGAAGGAGGAGGTGCTTGGCACAGTTCCCAGAGGAGCACTCAGAGCCTTGCAATCCTACTCATAAACACTGCACAAGATGAAAAGTCCCCAAACACAGGGAGGAGGAGGCTGGAGTTACCTTTGCAATCTCATACTGTAACCAGAGGAAGCAGAGCTGAGACTTTTCCTTGCCCAAAAACAAAGGCATGACAAGATGAAAGAGGTTGCGGATGAAGTCCTCGCCCTCTCGATTGTGACCCCTGGTCCAGCATGGACAGCCCAATGGGTCCATGCGGCCAACACAGCTGATGCCAGAAAATGAAGGGCTGGAAAAAGTCAAGGGCTTTTCATCATAAAGTCCATTATCAAAGATGCTGTTCTCATCCATGGCCAGATAAAGGCAGGAGGCTGGAGGAATGAAGCCAGAAGGCACACCCAAGAACTGCAGAAAGGCCTCAATCAACCGGAACTGAAGATCTTGGCTGCAAAGTCTGATAAGAGATTGTCCAATATCATCAAACAACACCTGCAACCAAGACAAAACAAAATAACCCACTTAATGTTTGATACATCAATGATTTGATCAAATTTTTCCACTATTCTTTTTATGTAAATGTACTAAAGATTCAACATTATTCAAATTAAAATAAATTTTGCACAGACAGGAGCTAAGTTGTCTGCAAAATGCAAAAAAAAGCTAAAGTTCTTACAAGGCAACCCAAACAACTGAAGAAAAACTGTCAGCAGCCCTGTGGGGACATTAACATTTTTCACATACATAGGAATACTGGGAAGGAGGCAAGACACAAATAAGCTTAAACCAAAAGCTTTCAAAGTATCCTAATGGATTTGTAGAAAATCTAGAATCATGCTCACTTCTGAAAGCACACATAATTGCTTTTGTAGTTACTTTGATAAATTACAATTGTGAAAATTTATTTTAAGATGGAAGATAAGAACTCTACTATTTTGTGGTTTCTTTGGGGAAAATTGCTTTAGTAAATAAAAAATATTCTTTTTTTTTTCCTTTTTGTCTTTTTTCGTGACCAGTAACGGGATCGCAACCCTCAGTGTCGCACCCGTACCGCGACCGGCAACGGGATCGCAACCCTCGGTGTCGCGCCAGCACCGCACTCAACCAGTGAATGGACCGGTCTCTATATGGGATCCGAACCCTCGGCGGGAGCACCACTGCACTCCCAAGCACCGCACTCTACCAAGTGCACCACCGGGCCGGCCCAATAAAAACTATTCTCAAAAACAAATAAACAGCAGCAAAGTAAGAAGGAAACCACAAGAGCAATAGACCATGTTAAGAGCAACTGGAAGAGCCTAACACTAACTGTAAATGTTGATAGCTGATTTCATGTAATCATTTAAAAATGTAAAGCCAAGGAGCCTACCCTCTGTCTCAAGGTGCTGGTTATCTGATTGGTCTTTGTGGCTCTCAGCAAAGAGGAAATCAAAACATAAGCACAGTAAAATGGACTACCTGAAACTCAACTAATCAAAACTATCAATTAATCAGAAAGCTCTTTTCTCCCAGCTTTTGATTAGAGAAAAGGCTAAGCGACAAGAAATTGCTCACAGCAGCAGTCCGCTCCAGGAATCAGCTTCTGGAAGACTGCCGGAATGCTGGGCTTAGAGAACCAACTTCCAAAAGGGTGACTGAGACCTCTATAAAATCCTCAAACACCAAAAAAAAAAGAATCCCTCTCTTCTCTAAATATTCAGCTTCATCCAGGAAAGTGCCTCCCGTGCAGAGTCACCTCCTTGAGCATTCCAGTGAGCTGGCATTTTCCTTTCATTTGGCCCCTGTTTCCTGCCTAGAGATCACTTTTTTCTCTATCTCTATCCCCACTTCTCTGTATCCCAATTTCAGTCTGGCCACTCCACAGGGCCCTCCTCAAACAGTCCAGGCACTCTGCAGCCTTCCCTAGTTCTGATCCCTCTGCCCAGAGCAGATGTGCCAGCAAAGACTCCTTGGACATCCAAGAATATTAACTGAGCCCTCCCCACAGGATAATCATTGTTCTAGGCACTGGTGATACAGCAGTAAACAAGAGAGACAAAAACTCCCTACCTTCAGGACATCTAATTTGTAGGGAGGGTCACAGAGCATCGTTACTGTACGAACCTATCAGTGTGTACCCGTAACATGTCGTATGCCAAGCAACAGAGTTGGTATCTTGTGAAACCGGGTCAGTCCCAGATATCAAATAATTTCTTCCTTCATCTTAATTTAAAACCTCCAAAGCTGCTGGCCAGTAAACACAGAGAAGATGTACCAAATCACATAATGTCAGTAAAAGAGATAACATAAGTGAAGTGCCTGGCACACAACAGGTAGTTCCTTCTTCAGCAAGACAAGCTGCATGCTGACTGTCCTGATATGGACTCCACATCCAGTCCCTCTGGTCTTCCAGAGTCTGATCTACGTGCTACATCTTCATGGATCCAAGAGTGGGCTGGGGAAAGTGGACACGATTAACTCATCTAGGACAGTGATTCTAGGTTTTTAGAACCTGAGTGCACACAGTTCCACGTGAAAAATTACCTGAATAACCTGGAATATGATCTCCAGTGCAGTGACCATGACAGCCTACTCCCTTACTAGGGGCCAGGAACTATCTGGTCAAGTGTCTGTATGCTCCCCCATCACCAGTGGCCAATGAAATTTCTATCTCGATATTGGGCAGGAGGAAAATTTCCACAGACATGAACGGTGGCAGGCTGGCATCTCCTAAGCCAGCCAAGTGCTAAAGGAGCCCCAGCGACCTTCTTTCAGATAACCACAGCACAACAGGAATAGAAAGAAGAAAAAGCCCCCATGGTCAGCTTCCGTCCGGGAGTGGAGGATACTTGCCTGTCTCTCTGGGTCCTCACAGTCTTCCTCAGTTTGTTTCTTGGTCTTATCAGGGCGCCAGGGCCGCCAGTGTCTCTGGTCTCGGGAACGCTCAGCAGCCAGCCAGATCTGCCACCTGGGCAGAGTCTTGTCTCTTATCTCCTGGTGGTCATCCTCTTCTGGTTCATCATCATCCTCATCTAGAACAGAACAAAACCTCTAGCTCACCTTAGTCAGCAATCAAAACCACCATAATCACCCAATCGGCCTGCTTGGCCAAGTACTGTGTGGGCACCTGGAATGCCAAAATGAGTAACAGCCATGCCAGCCTTCTGGGGCACTTAGTGGCATTTAGGGACTCTCCTGTAATCAGTCAAGTTCCCAGGAAAAAACAGGCAGACAAGCTGATGAAATCATATGATTTTTAATGCTATCACAGCAATTAAAATTGGAACACGTATCCTAGAACAGTACTATCGAATAAAACTTTGTGCAATGATGAAAATGCTCTGTATCTGCATTGTCTAATATGGTAGCCACCAGCCACAGGTACCTTACTGGGCACTTGAGAGGTAGCTAGTAAAGGAACTGAATTCTTAATTTTATTTAATTTTAAATAGTCACACATGGCTAGAGACTACTGTATCAGATAACACAGATTTAAAATGCCAAATGACATTTAATGACAGCATTGGTTCAGATTTTCTTAGGTCATCAGAATTTTTAGCCAGTGGCAAAATAATTATGACCTATGCTCACTAGAAGTTGCTAAAAAAAAAAAAAAAAAGACAATTCAGGATATCCAATAATTGTATTTCAATGTTTCCTAGTTCTGAACATGCAGAATGGATAAGGAGAAAAGTCTCAGTTATCTGTAAAGTTCAATACTTAAAAATAAACAAATAGGGTATATAAAATGGTATAGCCACACAGGAAAAGTATGGCAGTTTCTAATAACACTAAACATGCACTTACCATAACTCTACACTTGGGCACTGATCCCAGAAAAATGAAAACCTACATTCACACAAAACCTAGACACTAATGCTCACGGCAGCTTTATTAGCAATAGTCAGAAACTGGAAGCTGCCCAAATGTCCTACATTAGAAGAGCAGTACATCTTACAACCAGGCCTTGGGGCCCACCCAGGAACCCGGGCTACGGAGTCGGGAACTGGACCTCTCTCCCACAACCAGGAACACCACGCCAGCGCCTTGGGGCCCACCCACAGTCCCGGGGCATGGAGAAGGGGACCGGACCACCCTCTCACAACCAGGCACACCATACCAGCACCTTGGGCCCCGCCCAGGAACCCAGAGCATGGAGAAGGGGATCAGACCACCCTCCCACAACCAGGCACTCTGAGACAACGCCTTGGAGCCCACTAGGGACCCGGGGTATGGAGTCAGGGACCAGACCACCCTCCCACAACCAGTCACTCTGAGACAACGCCTTGGAGCCCACTAGGGACCCGGGGTATGGAGTCAGGGACCAGACCACCCTCCCACAACCAGGCACAACATGCCAGCACCTCGGAGCCCACCCAGGGACCTGGGGCATGGAGAAGAGGACTGGACCTCTCTCCCAAAACCAGGCACACCAAGCCAGCACCTCGGGGCCCCCCCACAGTCCCAGGGCATGGAGAAGGGAACCGGACCACCCTCTCACAACCACGCACACCATGCCAGCACCTCAGAGCCCACCCAGGGACCCAGGGCATGGAGAAGGCGACCGGACCTCTCCCCAGCAACCAGGCACACCAAGCCAGCACCTTGGGTCCCACCCAGTGACCCAAGGCATGGAGCCAGGAACCAGAACCTCCTCCCACGACAAGGCACAGCACACTAGTTCCTCAGGGCCCCCCCAGAGACCCGAGGCAAGGCGAAGGGGACTGGACCTCTGTCCCACAATGAGGGACACGGTGCCAGCACCTCAGGGACTGCCCGGCCCAGAGGTATGCAGAAGGGGACTGGACCCTCCTCCCACACCAGGCACAAAATGCCAGCACTTTGGGGCCCACCTGGGTACCAGAGGCATGGAGAAGGGGACTGGACCCTCCTCCCACAACCAGGCACACTGCAGCAGTACCTCAGGGCCCACCCAGGAACGCAGGACATGGAGAAGGGGACTGGACCCCTCTCCCACAACCAGGCACATGGTGCCAGTGCCTTGGGGCCTGCCCAGTGACCAGACGCATGGAGAAGGGGACCAAACACACCCCACAACCAGGCATACCGCCAGTGCCAAGGAGCATGCCAAAAACAGCACCTCCACGTGGGTGGCCCACCACAGCCACCACAATAACCATGGCTGCTGCAAAAGCGGCTAGACACCACAACCACCACGCAGATGGCCCAGCAACCATTGGAGTGCATTCACACAAGAAGAGTCACCAGCAGAGACAAAGAAAAGAAGAGGATGTCTCTTTCCACAAAATCCATTTTAGAGTGACAGAAAGAAGCATCTGCTCTATGATAATAGTGGGGGACCTGATCACATCTCTCAGCATTGGACAGATCATCTAGGCAACAAGTTAACAGAGTAACCATTATTCTTTCAGAAGGAGAGAAGAAATCTAGGGCAATTAGAGGGGGGAGGGGGAGAAAATGGGGGAAGGGGAGAGGTTGGATAAGGGGCATAAAGAATAATTACGATTTGTAACAATATATATGCTAGTAATATTGATTTAATCAACATATCTCAATGTTCAACCCAAAAAATATGTATAATCGATTTTGATTCAATAAATAAAATAAATTTAAAAAAAAAAAAAAGGAAGAAGAGCAGTACAACAAACTACGGTATGTCTACACCACCAGACAGCAATAAAAATGAACAAACTATAGATACACACAACAATTTTTATGTGTCTCAGGGGAATTATGCTGCATGAGAAAAAGCCAACTTCAAGTTACCATAAAGCAAGTGTTGCCAAGAAGTGGGGAACAGGACCCCTTGTGCATTGAAGTAGGAATGCAAAATGGTGCAGCCACTGTGAAAAACAGTCTGGTAGTTCCTCAAAAAATTAAACAGAATTACCATACGATCGGGCAATTGCACTTCTGGATATACAGTCGTCCCTCAGTACCCGTGGGGGACTGGTTCCAGGTCCTCCCTCGGATACCAAAATCCACAGATGCTCAAGTCCCTGATAAACACCATTTGCATATAACCTATGCACACCCTCCTGTATACTTTAAAGCATTGCTAGATTACTTATAATATCTAATACACTGTAAATACTATGTAAATCATAGGGGTAATGTATTGTTTAGGGAATGATGACAAGAAAAAAAGTCTGTACGTGTTCAATACGGACGCTTTTTTTTTCAAATATTTTGACCTGCGGTTGACTGCATCCATAGATGTGGAAGGCCAGCTGTATACCCAAAAGAACTGAAAGCAAGCACTTAAAGAGACATTGTGCACCATGTGCGCAGCAGCATTATTCACAACTGCCAAAAGTGAAGCAACCCGTGTCTGACAGATGAGCGCATAACAAAATGTGGTCTATACCTACAGCGGAATATTATTCAGCCTTAAAAAGGAATGAAATTCTGACACATGCTACAACATCCACAAATCTTAAAGACACTATGCAAAGTGGAATAAACCAGTCACAATAGAACAAATACTATATGACTCCTCCTTTATGGGTATCCTAGAGTAGTCGAATTCATAGAGACAGAAAGCAGAGTGGTGGCTGCCAGGGCTGGGGGCAGGGGGTGGAATACGGAGTTAGACTTTTTTTTTTTTTTTGTCTTTTTTCGTGTCCGGCAACGGATCGCAACCTTCAGTGTTGCGCCCGGACCGGGACCGGGACCGGCAACAGGATTGCAACCCTCAGTGCTGCACCCGCACCTCGCTCAGCCAGTGAGCGGGAACCGGTCTGTATGTGGGATCCGAACCCTCGGCGGGAGCGCTACCGCGCTCCCAAGCGGCGCACTGTAGCAGTGCGCCACCGGGCTGGCCCGGGAGTTAGACTTTAATGGGTGCAGAGTTTCAGTTGGGGAAGATGAAAAGGTTATGGAGATGGACAGAGGTAACGGCTGTAAGACACTGTGAATGTACGTAACGTCAGTGAACTGTACACTTAAAAATGGTTAAAATGGTAAATTTTATGTTGTGTATATTTTACAACTAAAAACATTTTGTTGAAAAAAGTTATATACCATATGTTTCCATTTATATAACATTGGTGAAACAACTGAATAATAGAGATGGAGAACAGATTAGTTGGTTCCCAGGGTTTAAGGTAGGGGTGTGTGGCTAAAAAGAGGTAGCACGAGGTGGCCTTGTGGTGATGAAACAGTTCTGTATCTTGACTGCAACGGTAATTACACAAAGCTACACACGTGATAAAACTGCCTAGTACTATATAAACACACACACACACACACACACACACAAGCACGCACATGCGCGCATGTAAAACTGCTGAAATGTGAATAAACGCTGCAGATTGTACCACTGTACCAATGTCAGTTCTCTGGCTGTGATACTATACTACAGCACTACCACGGGGGACGGTAGGTGAAGGGCACACAAAATCTCTCTGTACTTTTATTTTCAACTTCTTGTGAGTCTATAAGGTTTTTTTAGGAAAACCCAAATAATTTAAATGCATAATGTATATATTAGCATTTTAAACCCAATATTCTGCCTAAACATTCTGAGTTTCTCGAAGAAGAAAACTAAAATTTAACTATCACCTTCTTCTAAAGATAAATATTTTTTTTCTTGGCAGCTGACCAGTATGGAATCTGAACCCTTGACCTTGGTGTCACCAGCACCATTGCTCTCCAAGTGAACTAACCAGCCGGCCCTAAACATCTGTATTTAAAGCAATCCTTTAATCATTCTGAAAAACTCTTATCATAGAGAAATTACCCGAGAGTCATATCAGACTTAGATACCTGAATTTATTGCATTAAGAATTCAAAAGCTTACATGGTTTCGGACAGGCATGCATATGTAACAATTACAGACTAACAGGAAGTGAGGGCAAGAGAGAAGAAATAAGCTACCTCAGAATGCATGATAAAATCCCAACTACCCTCTAAATGCCAACCTTGTCAGAATGACGAGAACTTAAAAACAAAAAATTGTTATCAACTAGTTTTCTACAAACAAGAAAACTTTCAACCCTTCTTTTCACTCTGCTAGTTTTCTGGAGGACTCTCATTAAATTCATTGGACAGAAATTCATTAAGTTCAGTAGAAGATTCTCTATAATGGAAATGTATGGAAAGCTTACAGGGCATGTAAGTACCAACACACATCTCTCACTTGATATTAAAAATCAAGATTTTGATATCTGTATTACCTTTCTGAGAAAACTAACTTTACATGTGATTATGAGTGACCATTAGACACTGCACCCTTATCAGAGAAGTAATGTTAACTTAGTCTGTGGACACTGCTTTGAGAATTCTATCTTATCATCACAGAAATGCAGAATATGGCAAACTTTATAATATAGATACCATGCACTGTAGCAGACTCACTCCTTAACAAAAACAAATAAATAAAAACAAAAAACCAGCCTAAAAACACAGACCCGTGCTGAATCAGTCACTCAGACGAAGAGTTAATGCTAAGACTTCTGTTTTTGGGTGCCTGTGGACCCAGTGGTTAACAGTGCAATCCCAACTTCCATTGAGCCATGCATGTTGTTTTTCCTCACATATAAAAACCACCTGTTAGCCTGAAAAACAGTTTCAGTTCTTTTCAGAAAAGAACGCTCAAGGAAAATCTAAGCAGCTGTGTCCCCCACAGCCCAGGTGAGTCATGATCACCACCTGATAGCACTGCCCAGAGCAAAGTTACCTCCGAACACCTGACGGGCCCCTCCCCTTCCTTAGCGGTATCAGAGATGCCACCTGGCCCAGAGCTCTGACCTACCATGCAGACAGTACCTAATCCAAAGTTTTCATTCTGCAGATGAAGAACCAAGGCCCAGAAAGGTCACACCTGTGAGATGAGGCTCGCTGAGTGTCAGCAAGGAGCCAGTGTCCTGAGTCCCTTTCCATCACTCTTTCCCCCTGGTACTTTCAACAAAACAGCCGGCCTGGCAGATCCCCCTTTATGCTGGATCTGTCTTTCAGGAGTGAAGCAGTTCCTAAACATCTAAGAGCTGCTCTGGCCAATACGTAGCCATTAATATGTGGCTATCAAGCACTTGAATAGTGCCTAGTCTAAATTGAGATGTGCTACAAGTGTAAAATTCACACCAGATTTCAGAGCTACTATGAAAAAAAAGAACCTAAAATATCTCCTTAATAATTTCTAAATATTGATTACATGCTGAAATGATAATGCTTTCATATATTAGGTTAAATAAACTTTATCTGTCTCTTTTTACTTTTTCTATATGGCTACTAGACAATTTGAAATACCCATGTGCTTGCATTATATTTCTACTGGACAGCTCTCTGTTAGACTGTAAATCTGGAAAGTGCTTTGGGGTCATTAAGAATGATAGTTATATAAATGCTAGTTAATAATCATTTTTTTATATTTCTACTGGACAGCTCTCTGTTAGACTGTAAATCTGGAAAGTGCTTTGGGGTCATTTAGAATGATAGTTATATAAATGCTAGTTAATAATCATTTTGTAACACTCCTAAAAAGGCAAGTATTTTTTAAAGGATCTATTGATCTGCACATTGCCAAGAAAACAAAAAGACTATCTCAAATACACACTAAAAAAGAAAGGCGGGTGGAGAAGGTTAGCTGCAAGATTACTTCTTCAGGAGCAACCTATAAAAGGAAAAAGGAAAATTACTTCCTCTGGAAAGAAACTCTCAAATCCTCAGAGTATTGTGTATTGAAGGAACGGGAAATCAACTGCTTCAAAGCCTCTAAGGGAAAGAAAGTCTATTCTCCCATGACATCTACTTAATGTATTTCTGACATTTTGTTTGTACAATGTTCTTAAGCTACTGATAAATAGCTTATACAGATAAATAATCACAAAGATGTAAAAAGACATTCCAGAAGAAAAAGGCAGACACATATTTGCTGAGAGGTGCCTTACCTGGGTTGACGACCACCCAGCCACCCTGCTCCTGCTGGTGCATCCACGCTCTCCAGCCTCGCGCTCCCTTCTCCCCAGCCCGGGGCTCTCCACTGTCCCAAAAGGGCTCAAAGAATTCCACCTGTTGAGATTTAAAAATGGACATTAGGCCTAACTTGTACAAAACTGCTGAGTCACTGGGCAAAATAAGTGCTGGTGGACACAGAGTTTATGATTCTTGAAATCATGCTTGCCATCAGTGTTTGAAATAGATACATGATACATACCCCAAAGTAGGAAAAAAAAAAAAATCTAGTGTGGTAGGCGGCCTCCAAGACAGCCCACCAGGACCCCACCCCTGCCCAGTGGTATTCACACTCTTGAATGTGGGCTGGACCTAGTGACTTCTTCTAACAGAATATGGCAAAAGTGATGGGATGACCCTTCTGAGATTAGGTTATAAAAGACTGGCCAAGGTTCAGCAAGAAGGGCTGCAGCTGGATAGAAGAGGAGTGGTCGCCCAATTCTGATCCTGCTAGGCCAGCCTAACCAAGGATGGTGGCACTGCCAGCTCCCCTAATGCCACTGGGCTCCATACCTGATCCTTTAAGCTACATTGCTTTCAAGACCTTTTGAGGGGAAAGGGATTCAAAGTTTCAACAAGACAGACTGTGAGCTCTTAAGGGCACAACCACATCTTAAGTATCTATATTCCTAACACCTGGTACAGTGCTCAACACATAGTAGAGACTCAATAAATGCCTGTTGGCACAGATCTTGTGATCCCGTTACCAGTCAGTAAAAAAGACAAAAAAAAAAAAAAAAGGAAGGGCCGGCCTGGGGGCGCACTGCTACAGTGCGCCGCTTGGGAGCACGGCGGCGCTCCCGCCCGAGGGTTCGGATCCCATGTGGAGACGGGTTCCCGCTCACTGGCTGAGCGCTTGTGATCCCGTTACCAGTCAGTAAAAAAGACAAAAAAAAAAAAAAAGGAAGGGCCGGCCTGGGGGCGCACTGCTACAGTGCGCCGCTTGGGAGCACGGCGGCGCTCCCGCCCGAGGGTTCGGATCCCATGTGGAGACGGGTTCCCGCTCACTGGCTGAGCGCTTGTGATCCCGTTACCAGTCAGTAAAAAAGACAAAAAAAAAAAAAAAGGAAGGGCCGGCCTGGGGGCGCACTGCTACAGTGCGCCGCTTGGGAGCACGGCGGCGCTCCCGCCCGAGGGTTCGGATCCCATGTGGAGACGGGTTCCCGCTCACTGGCTGAGCGCTTGTGATCCCGTTACCAGTCAGTAAAAAAGACAAAAAAAAAAAAAAAGGAAGGGCCGGCCTGGGGGCGCACTGCTACAGTGCGCCGCTTGGGAGCACGGCGGCGCTCCCGCCCGAGGGTTCGGATCCCATGTGGAGACGGGTTCCCGCTCACTGGCTGAGCGCTTGTGATCCCGTTACCAGTCAGTAAAAAAGACAAAAAAAAAAAAAAAGGAAGGGCCGGCCTGGGGGCGCACTGCTACAGTGCGCCGCTTGGGAGCACGGCGGCGCTCCCGCCCGAGGGTTCGGATCCCATGTGGAGACGGGTTCCCGCTCACTGGCTGAGCGCTTGTGATCCCGTTACCAGTCAGTAAAAAAGACAAAAAAAAAAAAAAAGGAAGGGCCGGCCTGGGGGCGCACTGCTACAGTGCGCCGCTTGGGAGCACGGCGGCGCTCCCGCCCGAGGGTTCGGATCCCATGTGGAGACGGGTTCCCGCTCACTGGCTGAGCGCTTGTGATCCCGTTACCAGTCAGTAAAAAAGACAAAAAAAAAAAAAAAGGAAGGGCCGGCCTGGGGGCGCACTGCTACAGTGCGCCGCTTGGGAGCACGGCGGCGCTCCCGCCCGAGGGTTCGGATCCCATGTGGAGACGGGTTCCCGCTCACTGGCTGAGCGCTTGTGATCCCGTTGCCGGTCCCGGTCCGGTACAGGCGCGACACTGAGGGTTGCGATCCGTTGCCGGGCATGAAAAAAGACAAAAAGGAAAAAAAAATTAGTCGTCGGGCCGGCCCGGTGGCACACTGCTACAGTGCGCCGCTTGGGAGCACGGCGGCGCTCCCGCCGAGGGTTCGGATCCCACATACAGACCGGCCGCTCACTGGCTGAGCGAGGTGCAGGAGCAACACCGAGGGTTGTGATCCCGTTGCCGGTCGCGGTCCGGTACAGGCGCGACACTGAGGGTTGCGATCCGTTGCCAGTCACGAAAAAAGACAAAAAAAAGGAAAAAAAAAAAAGCAGTAGTGATTACTAACTTCCTTTATGGGCCGGCCCTGTGGCTCACTCGGGAGAGTGCGGTGCTGATAACACCAAGGCCAAGGGTTCGGATCCCACATAGGGATGGCCGGTTGGCTCACTGGGTGAGCATGGGGCTGACAACACCAAGTCAAGGGTTAAGATCCCCTTACCGGTCATCTTTTTAAAAAATAAATAAATAAATAAATTTTTTAAAAAAAGGAAAAGCTCTCGTACAAAACCTTCTGAAGAGGACAAGCAGACTTCCCATGGGCACACCATAGTCCAGGAGCCACAGGATTATCCAGCCTGAGCCCCAGGCAGCACCACACATGCCTGGAAGAGCTCAGTCTCCAGGAGTCAGGGGAGGTGAACGTCCTGACATGGGCTCTGTAGTCTGAGTGCATGTCAGTTAATCTCTGGAAGGGGCTCTGGGAAGACTACACTCCCTCCTATAGGTTTTACTCTCGTAAGAGTTACGGAAGAAAGTGCACTCAGGGGCCGGCCCAGTGGCGCACTGGATAGTGCGCCGCTTGGGAAGCGCGGCGGCGCTCCCGCCCGAGGGTTCGGATCCCACATACAGACCGGTTCCCGCTCACTGGCTGAGCGAGGCGCGGGGGCGACACTGAGGGTTGCGATCCCGTTGCCGGTCCCGGAAAAAGACAAAAAAAAAAAAAAAAAGAAAGAAAGTGCACTCAGGAAAAAGACAGGCATTTTTTGTAAACAGTGTGATAAATGATTATGATCAATTTGTTTATTCCACAGAAATTCAGACCAGTAATTTAAGACTCTGCCTGTTTTAAGTTATGCTACTACATTTACAGTAACGAAGTCTCTCAGTTACAGAAGCAATACGGAATATTGTTAAAGCAGCAGCTTCATCTCAAAGCTGTCAAGGTAAATGCTTTGGAAATACATGTGCCGTTAGTATTTAAAACCCCAAGAATGTGGATCTAGGTCTCTCAACACCCTAGAGCAGCGGTCCTTGATGTGCCAGTCATGGGCAGAGCCCTACCACCCATCAGTAACTGCTCTCATCATAGACAGTGAGTCTCAGTAAAGGGGTGGGGATAAGAAAGATTCTGATCCTGACCCACAATACTCCTTAGAGTCAGCTAAGAATCACTTCTGTAGCATAGCACCTTCTTAAAATATCAAAAAGTGTCTTAAAATTACTTTGTTGTCTGGCTTAGTAATAATCAGTTATACCAATATGAACTGGTATAAATAATTCTTTAACACAATTTTGTGTCATGATAAAAACGGTCTTTACTGGAAATTCATGAAATTTCCACATGATGGAGGGAGACCTTTGCCTCTCAAAAAAGACTTTTGACGTTTCACCACCAATTCAGATATTCTGTTCCTCTTCCACCAGTCTCTTTGCAGAGTAGGAAACTCAATGTTCTTCAGTGGAAAAAGAGAAAAGACAGGTTTTCTTATAAGCACAGCTCTATGATATGATTTTTTTTATTGCTTCACATAACAAAATTCGCTTGTTATATAAAGGATTAACCCCTCCCCCATTAGGATCTGTGATGACAAAGTGACATGTAATTTCATGTGAAACTCTAGCAAAAATTATATGTAACGGAAAGGTTAATTGGGAAAGTGACACAAGACCCAGATTAGAATGCATAAGGGTGGGAGAGAGTGACGCGTCGTTTACAATAGCATGACAACTGTTTTCCTTACTGCTGAGGATATCTGACATTTAAACAGGGCTACAGTAAGAAAGAAAGGACATCAGTGAGTATTTAAACTGGGGGCTGCAGGGGCATCTTCTTTCATCTGTCCACATTTCATTACTTTCATTATGGAATTCTCCTTGCAACACTGGACTATTTCTGAGAAATCCTCCTCAGCAGAACTGATACAAAGAAGGACATGATCTGTTAAAAATACTAACACTTCCCATTACCCACACCTCTCCCTCTCCCCACTCCTGGACAGACCATGTGAGTAGAGCTTAGCACCTGTGCTTTGGTAGGCAGATCTTTCACACTGTCAGGTTTGAAGAAAGTGAAGTCAACCATGGCCTGGAACAAAGAGATGGCCTTCTCAGAGTGGCCTGTCTGCCGCAGAAAGTGGCACTGCTGAAGAAAGAGTGCTGCAGACGGGAGAGCAAAGGGGAAGAATCCTTGGTGACACCATTTAAGGGAGAGAACGTAACTTCTTAAGACGTGCAATTAAACACTAAAAACATCTTTTCAAAGCTGTAATACATAAATGACTTAAAAGGACTCAACAGTATGGTAATCTAAGTATCGTTATTCTACAGTAATCTAAGGTATAGTTATTCTATAGGTAATCTAAGTATCGTTATTCTAATTTTTTTTGAAGAAACCATCACAGAATACAAATACTAACAATAAAAACTATATACAGTACATAAAAATAAGTCAAGAGGTTGGTCTGCATGTTGGCTATCAAATGCTCAACACTTATTACAAGAAAAATTTCAGGAAAAGGATGGGGGAGCAGATTTTTAACAGGAAGCAACGTCTGTGCTCAACTGATCACTAGGTGGCATTATTCACCAGCAACTTTCATCCTATGTTCAGAGTATGCAGTAAACAAATCAAGGTTCCATGTCTGAAAATTTCAGTTCTTCTTAACTGTGGCACAATTCCGTTTACTAAATAACATTAAACTATTTGAACACATCACAAATAATACCAAATATAAGACTCTTTACATCAGTGTAGTAAATGCTTATTATTTCTAGAGCAACATATTTATATCTTTAGATGCTAATGGTAGTACTCAATGGCAGGGGTTTCAATCAAATAAATGCCTGCTATGTGCCAGCGTCTGAAGTAGATTCACCATAATATTATCTCATTTAATGTGCACAACAGTCTAGTAAAGCAAGTATTATACTATTGTTGCTGATGGAGAAACTGGAGCTCAAACAGGTTAAGGAGTCACCACAGCAAATGAAGGAAAAACCCAGGATTCAAGCTCAAGCGTGATAACTCGCTGGCCCTTACATAACATGCTGCCTCCTACATCTAGTTACTGCCAAGATTTATATTCTAGGCTCTTTCAGGACACACCAAAAATGTTAACAGTATGATGATACCAATAACTTATCTCTCTGCAGTGGTTCTCAGTCAGTCAGGGCCTCTCCCGCACATTATTGCCTGAGACCCTATAACTGGTGAGACAAGTACAAGCACCTCAACCGATAAGGCCATTGACTGCCAAAGCAGTAAGAGACTTTGTTTACCTGGTTAACAGGTAGAAAAGCTGGAGCTTCTTGCTCACTGATATTTTCCTCACTCTACTGGCTCTAATACCCACCTCTACCCAACCCAGGAGCCATGAAGGGAATGTGTTATAATCAACAAAAGTCACAATACATTTTTAAAAATCAGTTCTACTTGACAATTTAGACTTTTTCTAGAATAAACCAAAAATAAATCCTCATTTTCAAGTAAAGCCAAAAGAAAGTATAACTCGTCCCACGTAACTGGATGTGGTACCTCCTTACCAAACATGGCCTCTTCCGTGCCAGGCAACGCAGGGTGAGACAAGATGCTGCCATCCTTAACAGCAGACAAAGTACTCAAGCACTTTCCATAAAGATTGTGAATTTTTGATACTGAAAAAGTGCTAAACTGGCTCTGGCAAAATAAAAGGTATTTCTGCCAAAGGGCTGTGTTATTGGGATGTAAAAATATCAGTTTCTGCCACTCTTTGAGCAGAGTGGGGGGCTCCCAGAACTCTGTGCAGAGCTTCAGCTTGGCAAGTTTCAGATCCACGCTGCTCTGGTTGCTCTCGATGGCCCGCTCCAGAATGGCCAGCTTCTTCTCCAGAATGAGCTTCAGGGACCTCTTCCGCTTTTCCTGCTCTCCTTCCTCGATGGCATACAGGCCAGGACTTTTCATGACCTCGTCCTCAACAACAAAAACACCAAGTTACAAATGCAGACAGAACTAGGGAATCCTCCGCGTTTCAACAGTAGATTTACTTACAACCCCCAGTGGGTTTTTACTTCTCAAAATGAACTGCTATTCAGACTTCCTTAAACCACTTGTTTATCACAATTCCTTTTAATGAAAACTTGGTTGCTAAGGTACCTGTGTCCCTTCGTATGTTTGATCTTGTGTGTATTTCACCTGATTGACCTGTCCACTCTGTCACTTTAAACTTAGAATTATGTGTCAATAACTAGCATACAATGCCTTTAAAACCTTTTCTTTTTTTTTTTTTTTTTTTTTTTTTTTTTTTTTTTTTTTTT